AGGGTCTGTTTGAACTCTTGTAGCAGGTCTTTCTCAGCGTGACTTCTTTGGTTTGAAGAAATGATGGTTGTTGGGATTACTCGACTATATACTAGTGCGTTCTATACAATGTTTGTGGTTGACAGCTAACATTGTGGGTACACAAGACGTGAGAGTGGACGGTAGATTCGACTGGTGACTTTACATTGTGTGCAATATGCACGAAAAAGGGGAGGGAAGCCCAATCAAGTCCCCTGGAGGCTGAACAAATAATCCTAAGATCACGCGTACCCCCAACCCTTCATTCCAAGATGTATTGCAGCGTACCATAGGCCTGTCGCGGTACTGTTCGTCGATTTGTTCGCTGCAAACGAAACGCCTGCTTACATGTTCACGAGACAATACGCAGGTTCTCTGTCACTAGCCCCGCGCCTTCTTTGGGTGAAGTTGACTTCGACCATGTTACATCGAAGGCTAGTCTTTCTCATATTCAGCTAGTCTTCCCTAACGGTTGCGCAAATGTGTCTTATCACAGGGCTGTCAAGCGATTTCCAGCTCAGCTGTTCTACCTATCAGAGCAATTCTAAAGTCGTAAAACAGGGCCCGTTTAAGCCTCTTTCTGTGCTTATTGTTTGCGGCGATCCGGAATATCGCCTGACGACCCTGTGGTATGTCGGCAGATCTTTGGCGACGATCAATTCTGCAGAGCCACTTGCACAACCTGACTGCTGCAAGCGATATATTTAATTACATCGTTGATGTAGGACTGGTAAGAATCAATCGTCAGACGAGGATGAGTATTTGGATTGCAGTCGCAACTCGTGCCGGAGCGAGACCAGGTGAACAGCGTTGCTTCGAGTTGAGGTCTATCTACAATCCTCTTAACAGCTCGTCCATTGTGATCGGTTTCCTGACAGCATTCGAAAAGCCTTCATGAAAGCTGACCCATATCCGACCCTCATCGTTATCTTTCGCGACACCCTTCCTGGTACTGCTTTCCATCTCCTGTCCCGCCTCCTCGCCAGTTGGCGCCTTGACCACTCGGCCAAAGAAGTCCCTTTTCACTTTCACTGCCTTTTCAGTCAACTTCGCGTCAGCTGCACTTGCGTCTTTCTGTTCTGCTTGCCCCTCATCACCTATCTGTCCACCCCTCCTCTTTCTCGCTTCACTATCCAATCTAACACTCTCCCTCCTCCACTCACTCTCGAGCACACTTCTGACCGCAAATCTGACCTTATCGTCCCTCTTTCCGGCTAGCGTCTCAAACGCGGCCAAGTGATCAAGTGGGGGCTCCATTCTCCAGACGAAGCCTCCACTCCGATTAGCCACATCTTCAATCTCCACCCTGCTCTTCTCGAACCTGACCCCTGTGGCTGCCATCGCCTCGACGGCCTTCTTGACAAGCGCTTTCTCCGAGGCCTTGCGAACTGAAGCTGTAGCCGAGGATTTGGAGCCTGACGGTCCGGTGTTGACAATGACCGGCTTGACGTCTGGAGAGATCATGCGTAAAACATAGGGCAGAAGATCAGCGGCGAGGTCTTCTGGAGAACGGAAGAGTCTCGTTAGTTGCAAGCTTAACGTGCCTTGTAGACCCATTAGCTGCGAGCGATTGGCTTTCAGGGCCTCGGACGCAGAATACGCCGCACCGGGCCCTGAGAATGGAGACTGCTGGGCGTCGGGGTCAGCGATGGGATTCGAGCTGTGCTGGCGAGGTGAGGCGAATAGGTCGTGGAAGGCGAGGACCGATTGTGAGAGGTAGGGAAAGAGTTCCCATTCTTGGTGGCCGTGGAGCTGGGAAGAAAGCTGGTCGTGGAAGTGTAGCCATTCGTAGGCTGAAGCGGGTTTGCTGAGAAGCGTGTCGTCTTGGAAAGGCTTTTCGGGGTATGCGGAGAAACAGTCTGTCATTGTCAATCAGCCTGACACGTCTTGAACTCGAGAGTGAGGGGACATACCTGAGACGATGCGGTCGCAGTCACCGCTCGTGTCCACCATCTCCCGTAGCCGATCTAATGCACGTCGCTTGGCCGCTTCCGCAACGCCGACGACGCCATGTTTTCCAGCCTTACTGGACGTTGTTTCAGCTTGTTTGGGAAATCCGGCACCTTCGCGGAACACGCGGTCAACAACATCCTTAGCACCTCCGCGCCCTAGGCTTCGGGCGGCTCCTCCGCCATGATGAAGGTCATTAATCACATTCTCTTCCACCCACTGCCTTGTCAGCCGTACTTGTTCCGCCGCAGCTTTCCTCGTAGCTCTCAGTCTACTGGCGACCCATTCACTTACGACCATTACGCCGCGTATGTCTCCTTCACCAGTCCCGCTCCCGGTACCACCCTCTTTCTTGGTGCTTACACCCCATGTCGCTTCACAGAGACGGCGCACACCATCCGAGTCTGCTGCTATGCCCTCTCTTCCGAATATGTCGTGGATACGGGAGACGACCATATTGAGTGCTGCTTTTCGGATATGGATAATCTCTGCGCAAGACGACTGCCGCAATGGACGCAAGGATGGATGATAGACGTCGTTGCACACGAGGATGAGTGGTCGCATCATCCGAAATTTGTCGCCTTTCTTCTTTTTGGTCGCGGTAGTGGAAGAATGTTGGTCAGCCGCTCGTGAGTTTCTCTCGTCTAGATTGATCAGGTCGATCAGAGCTTTGATGAAGCCGCCCTCACCAGCTCCACCACTTCCACTCACGACGCCATCTACTTCGTCTACCACCACGCACACTGGCTTTCCAGCTTTACGGACCTTCCCGCTTGCTGTTGTGCTATTGACACCTCGCACATTCTCCGTTCCGACCATATCGCGGATGCGGCCCTTCACCACGTCCCGACTTCGTTCATCGGAGGCGTTTATTTCCTGGACTTCGTATCCAGCTTGCTTCGCGCATACATGAGCTAACGTGGTCTTGCCGAGTCCTGGAGGACCAGTCAACAACAGCACCTTTCTATGTCTCTGATCCTCTTTGTTGTCTATTGTCCTTGCGCCCTTCGACTTGGTTTTATCCGATCCGGGAAAAACGATAGGGTCCCAGCCTTTGAGCCAGCGTAGAACAGAACGATGCGTCCGTTCATCTCCCACGAGATCGGTGAATTTCTTGGCGCGGTACTTCTCCGTCCACATCAGTGTTTTCGCGCTCTTGCCGGCTTTTTCCTGCGGTGCAATTGACTCGATAGAAGGCTGTACTTCACTGTGTGCGTCCCGTTCCCGGCTTAGAGGTTTTTCAGCATCTTCAATCTTAGCCTCATCTAGCAATTGGTGGATGTTGATGCCATAATAGCTTTTTTGTGCTTTTCCCGGCTCCACAACCGAGCGAGACGCAATGAGCTCCTTGTACGAGGCTGCGGGTTTCCAAATTTTCTTCTTGATGGAGATGGCCTTTCCAGACGCAGTCGTGATCGTTCCGCTTCTAGAAGTGGAAGATGGGGCACCGCGCAAAGCCCTCGATACCTGTTCAACGGGCGGAGGTGAGTTAAAGTAATCGTCTATTTCGCCAACCGGCACCGTCTCCGGATTCAACACTTCTTCCTGGCTGGCCGGAGGTGTGTAATCCGCGAGAGCAGCCGGCACAGGAGGCAAGTCGCGAATTAGGTTGATCGCTCGCCTCTTCACAGGTTGCTCCTTCAGCGCAGTCCTATCTTCCTCGTCATCCGATTCATCAAGGAACCCGCCAATAAGTTTTTTCGAAGTGTTGGCGTTGACATCTTTCAACGGACTGCGCTCGCCTTCAGAACGTTTCCTCTTCTTCGGTGATAAAGGTTGCGGTGCAGAGCTAGGCGGGTACGTGATGGGCGAAGAGATCATCGGCATATTGATACTAGGTGGGGAGGAGGGAGGATGATCGTCCGTGGAGGATCCAGTAGGGAATCGACGAAGAAGCGAGTGCGACTGGTGTTTTGGAGGGGTGTCTGTATTCATCAGTCTTCTGCTAATTCCAGGTCAGGCCCAAATCGCGTACCGATTGGGTAGAGTTCGTCACTAAGGAATGCTTCTTTGAGCCTCCAAGCACGGTGTTGAATCACGATGCCTTGCGCGTTCTTCTGTGCCTTGTCCTCCACAATGCACTGTTGTAGCGCCTCAAGTTCGTCGGAGTAGGAAAGTGTTGCGGGTGCGGGCGCGTCGTAGGCGAGGTCGGGTTCGGAGTGTAAGTATATTGCAGGATCGAATGACGTGGGTAGATCCGAGGGAAAGTCACTCATGTGTGCATAGAGACGCCTGACATTGGTGAAGTGGTGCCATGATCGAGGAAGTTTGGAGTCTTGGTTGGGAAATCCCATTGAAGCCAGGGTCGACGCGACGGACGCGAAGTCGCGTTGCGCGCTAGTCCACATATGTATTAGCGTAGCATATCCGTTCGGGACTCCCCAAATGATCCATCTCAGATAGCAAGCGAGCAGAGAAAGTTATAGAAAGCATATCATTCATTATTCTTGCCCATCTGTCTTCCATCAAGCATTTCGTGTATCCGTTCCAAGCAATCAGAGCTGGAAAGCAACCAGCCTAAGAGTCAAACTTGGTGAACACAGACCTTCAAATGCAGATGGTCACCCCTAAGCGCCATGAAACACTGGCTCATAGGTCCATCTAACTTGATGTCGTAGACTAGCCTTGGAGGGTAGAACATGCATACCAGCGCCACTAAGCAAGATCACTCAGTACGATACATCAAATCGACCCCCTTTCTCTTTTGACACGGTACTCGTACGTATGATGTACTGTACCCGATCATTGTTGTCTTTCCTCCTTCGGAATGAGTGTGTCACTGCTGTTTCCACTGTGTTGTACATGGCTTGAACACAGGAACCCTTCATACGATTTGCAAGTCGACACCGATTCTAGCCGATGTCGGCCGTTAAGCGAGTGGTGAGGGGCAATTACCAGGACACACAGCCCCACGCGTCAGAAATTTCCATTGTTCACACCATTCAAAGGCTCCTAAATCTATTGTGTAAGTGAGCTAAAACTATAGTATATAAATTATATATTGTTCAAATTCTTCCACAATCAATAACACAAGCTGAATGGCGCAGCGGAAGCGCGCCGGGCTCATACCCACTAGGGATGTCACCCGGAGGACAGTGGATCGAAACCACTTTCAGCTATCATTGATTGTTTCTTTTTGCCTTCGAGTAAGACTCGTGTTCGAATCGGCGCGTCGGCAAAATCACACCTTTTGCTTCTGTACTCTTTACCACTGCTCCCAATCAGCATCTCACTGTCAGCATGGCCATTCTCTCACCCGGAGCGACAATCACTACAAGCACTTGCTTGCGCTTCCAGTACTGCTTCACGCCTGCGTCACCGCTTTCTTTTTTTTCGAGTGGGAGAGTATGTATAGACAAATATCCTACATCTAAAGATCTTGCGAGCAGCTCATTGGCTTTGGCTACCTTCATCATGATCTACAACACTTTATATATAGGTCGGAGTAAGCTGCTTGAACGTGTTTTAGCTTTTACTAGTTCCTCCGCACTCGTCTTGCCCTCGGTCAAGCAACACATGTAGTCCATTTGCACACGATATTCCAATTATCAATCTGCACGGTTGGGCGGCAATGATTGCGTGGGTGGAAATGTAGTCCGCGGAGGTCTGTCTTACTGGTTTCCATTCGCGAGCCCCAAATGCTTACATTCACCTAGAGTAAATTGGGAACATAACGGGAGGAGTAGAGTTCGTTGTTCGTTGAGATTTTGTTCTTTGGGTGTCTTTATTCATAAGCCGTGGTTCTGCATTACATTATGTTAGCGCAACCTTGGTTGCCTCCAGATCTTTCCGTGGGCGAGACATAAGTCGACATTATTATCGAGTATATATGTAGGAAGTCCATCCTACGCTGCGGCTGTTCTCACACACGAATTCTTCTCACACACAAATCCTCTTCACACGCGAGTCCTCCTTCCACACCACATCCCACACGATCAAGCCCAAATCTCAAGGATTGTTGAGATGTCTCAGTCACGGTTTCTTGGTCTTCCACGCGAACTCCGCGACATCATATACCAGTACTATGTCCTAGAAGATGGCGGGTACATTTTCAATCCCGATTCCAGAAAACTGGAGGCCCCAGGCAACCGTCCCATCAGTATGGCCCTCATGTTCACCTGCCGGAACGTCGCAGCAGAGATGCGAGGAGTTGCTCTCAAGACGAACACCATAAATTTCTTCACATGGAACTCGGACTCGACGCGGACTGATGCACATCTGTTCGGTTCGTTCGTACGCACTTTAGCCTTGGTTAAAAGTTTCACCATTGATTGGGCCCGCGCTTGCATAACTGATGAGGTCGCATCCAAATTGACTAGTCACTTCCTCTAATTTCAACCTGTCACCGAAGATTTGCAACACAATGAGAGGACATGGTATCTATATTGTGTAGCGGCAAGACGATGGGGACAGGTTCCTTCCGTCCATCGAGACTTCATCGACTACGCGTGGCAGCTACTTTCCGATGAGCCAGACTTCGCACGTGAGGCTACCGACTCTCCTTGGAGACCATTAGAGGGTCCTTTTGATCCGGCTCGAATAGCTTCCATTGATGCCAAACCTTGGCTCATACCTACCACGGAGGATATCAGAGTTTTATACGACACCGTATGGCTCCAAACGGCTCTCTTAAACACCTGCAGGAACGGATCCAAAGGCGAAAGGGTCTCGAAACACAGGAAGTACCGATATTCGGCGGCGGCCGTCGCAGTCAAGTTTATTTCTTCCATTCCAGAATCGACGCGACTCCAATTTCGTTCCATCGTGCTACACGAAGACAGAGAAGCTGTGGCCTTTCCGCAGTGCCATGGTCGGGGTCTCATACCCTATTGCACCGAAAACAGAAAGCTCCGAATAGAACGACGGGTTGACCTGTGGAGGAACGCCTTCATGTCAGAATTCAGTAATGCTGTGGGCCTCATAGCAGATGACTCCGAGTATACCGGCGTTGCAAGTGATGAACTTGATGCTACAGCTGTGACAAGACCTTTGGTCCCCTGGATCACTGAAGCACTAGCTTTACCATCACTTGGAATGCCCATCGGTGCATTCACTTTGTTACTCAATGGCGATCCCACTGCCTTGAAAACCTCAGAAGTCTTTGCGACGGTCACGCGAGATGCTGCGTGGCAGGCGGCTCTTGACCAGTGGTATATCTATCGCGACATAACGCCAACTTGGTTTGAGAGAAGGGAACATGTATGCTACCGCTTCGAGGGGTTTCCGGAGTGTGTGCGAGACTTAGTGGAACATCGGCCCGGTTCGTTAGTGCGCTGCAACTTTCATGTGGATGACGTTTGGGACGCAGACCGAATATTTAACGAGAACCGTCATTTGGGCTCGGTAGAGGATTGGGAAGAAGAATTGTGTCGTCACAGAACGACAAGGTTTCAAACATCTTCGCCCCTGCCATCATGGCTGGAGCTTCAACGAGAGGAAGTTCATCGAGGTGCAGCTGGGGTTGATAAGTAGAGGGAGAACGGCGATCGCTTACATGATCTACTTATTTCCTTGTTTTCTCGCGTCAAGAGAACAAGGTAACGTATGGTTAGACACATCTCCTCGTTGTATAACGCTCCGCATTCCTCGAATCAACATGGCGGAGTTCTAAAGTTTGACGAAGGCTAAGCATAATGAAAATATTGTGGTTCCTAATGATGTGCTTGTTTGATGCAGTTCGTTAGAAAGGTACACTCTAAATGTCTAGTTCTTGACTTGGTGCAACAATTGGGATTGAAGGATAAAGTTGATAGTCCAGAGGCGCGGACGAAGATTGTCTATTCTAATTCATTTCCATTCCATCTACAAAATCCGAATAAGTAAAAATCGGTTGACAATACCTTGGCGACGGTTGAGGCACAGCGGAAGCTATGTGGACTCACTGGCTCCTCTTTATCATGCATGGATATCATATTACTGTCTTCTATCTATTTAGACACCAGTGCCTGATCGAAACCTCGAATTTTACCACTTTTTCGCCACTGACGTATCCGCCGACCTAATGCGATGCAATTGTTGTCATCTAAGCATATGGCATGAGATAAGCTTATTCTTCCTCCTCACTGGCCACACTTATCGACGAGATGCCTTATCAAGCTTGAACCCAACTTCGTCTGACTCCTCCTATATTCTCAATATCTTTATGTGCCCCCTTGTTGAACCAGTCCCCTGACTTGCATCTCTACGTCCCGATTCCTTCCTTCTTCCAGCTCTACCTGTTTCTGTAGCTGCTTCTTGTCTCTATAGCGCTGGACAGTGTAGTGCCAGATGACGAAACAGATGAATGATAGTGCGAATGGGCCGAACATGACAATGATAATGAAAGTTGGAAGCTGGATGCCTCCCACTGTTGGCATGGAGTCTCGTTTGATAGGTTGTGGCATCTTGAGATGTGTAGTAGGGACGCGACAAGGTGATTAAGACGAGACGAGACGATCTTGGAAGGGATGCTGATGCCAAATGGAAGGGTTGAGAAGTTGGGTGCGTATGATAGTGCTTGGAAGTAGATTGATACGGGTGACGTTCGGTTTTCGGTATACGTGAGGGTGATCTATATATAGTTCTAGTGTACGAGACAACGGACAAAGGGGAGAAAACTAAAATTTAAATCGTAGATCTGAAGGCAACAAGGAATGTGGCCCTGGCGCTTTGTTAATCGATTCGAACAAAGAGCTTTAACAAGCGTACGTACTAGTCAAACTTGAATGCGCTCTGCAACGTACCAAACGTACAGTAAGTTCCAGTTCGTTCGAGAATGGTGTGTTATCACATCATGTAGCAAGGACCTTCATTAATGGAGTATGGTAGATTATTCACTGCCCACCGCACTGCCATTCCATTTCATCCGCTCTGCTGCTGTAGCTGGAGAATGTGCGTGGCGACTTCTTCAAATTCCTTGCGGAATTGAAGTTTCTCCAACCACCTCAAAGGAATGTTCTCTATCCCATCTCGCGCACCGAGCAAGCCTCCTGCGATAGCTCCGTTTGTATCTGTATCCCCTCCAAGTCGGACCACGTCTATCAGCGCATCTTCGAAGGACCGAGGATCCAGCAGTGCGGCGATCGATATACGCAGAGCATTGAGAACATACCCATGCGTGCTCACGTCCATACCACCTCGAGGGCCCTCACTAGCGATCTTCGATAATTGGAGCGTCTCGCCTTCTATAATAGCAGTTGTGACCTTGTCGCACCCTAAGCGGTTTGAAATTGTCTTGCCAATCTCAACAGCTTCTCGTGGTGACTTGCCGTCGACGAGGGCCGCAACAATCTCGTTGTACGATGCACACGAGACTGTGCATCTCGGATCGTTGTGGGTGAAACCGCTGATAGCTATCGACTCGTTCTGTCGCCTCTCTCCCGATGCGAACAGTCCGGTAGGAATACAACGCATCAAGCTCCCATTACCGGCACTACCAAACCCCACGCCAGATCTTGTTGGGTCCCTCAGCCTCTTGTAGTTGTGCAAACCGGTATCCGTCGCGCCCCCAATGTCATTTGGACGCGAGCCCTTCTCGCGACCTGGCCATTGACCCATTCTCCATTGGAGCGAATACTCGGCGGCTGCTTTAGCGACATTAAACTCTTTCACTGACTGCGTGCTTCCGGCTTGTTTGTTTTCCTCGTAGTCTCGGTAGGCTAGAAGTACTGCGCGGGTAAGGTCGGTGTCATCGGTAGCGTGGCCGGCAGGCCAGTCAAAATGGCCGCCGCCGACGATTTCGCGCAAACCCTTGGGGTGTTTTCGAATGATATCAGACCAGGGCATGAACTCCAAAGTGGCACCTAGCGAATCGCCGCAGTGGACGCCCAAAAGGGCTCCGAGCGTTTTCGAGATGCGTTGGTTGGTTGATGACGTCATCGAGCGAGACTGCCAGGTTTTGGACGATCGGGAGAAACGACTGAAGGAACGGCAGAACATTGGGTTTGCAAAGTAGATGATGGAGGAACATTATATATCAAAAGGCAAACGGTTGCCTACAATGACAGTACCAATACAGATCGAGCGTAGCGCCCGTTTAGTACGGACATAGCCACAGCCCACATTCCATTTGGAGCTGCGTGCCCCGAATACGTTCTATTTATCATTGCAGCTTCACCAACAAGGCTCCGACATTGCGAAC